ATCTTCAACAATAAAGTCGTTACAAACTTTTGACAGTACACTCTATATTTAAAAGCTGTATTATCAAATAAAATTAATAAAAGTGTAAATAAATTAAACATTAAGTTTACATCCTCGTTTTAATGTGTTCATGATGAATCGCCCGAGTACGGTTATTGAAATATTATAATTTATTTAAAACTCACCACATGTACAGTTGCTATCTGCTGGCTACAATTACTAAAATCCTCTTGATCTTCGTAATCTGAACTTTGACTAGGCGACATTCCATCCTCGCTCCTAGAATACCCGCTAATTTTCCTAAAATGTCTTATTTTTCCTTCTAATTGCGTATAATACTGGGGAGAAATAATTTGACCTAATTCATGGTGTTCAGATCTACTGGTATCTACGGACAACGTCGACAGTCTCGAGCTAACACTTTGCACGTCGGAACCAGCGTAGTCACCACTTTCGATATCCCTAGAAGACCTAAAAACGTAAATGGATTAAATATTTTAGCGGTTTAGCTGTGCATTAAATAAAAACTCGACAAAAAAACAATATCTGCTCAAATAAAAAAAATTGTAGTTAAAAAACGAATGCAAGAGGCTTCTACATTTCTGCATTGAAAAAATATATTTATCACTAACACAGGGGTTCGATACCATCCAAGACGCCTATATACGTGGATCTTTTTAAAATGTCGCCTTCCTTAGAAGATAGACGATTGTCATCATTACTTGAACTCTGTTTACTTTTGCCTTTAAAAGATGGTTAAACAAGTCATTAAACCACTCTTTGAGATTGAGAAGTCATGATATTGCCTTCCAACGCTACGCTTTTCTAAATCTCTCTGAATTTCCCCTCTTGGTAACGACTTAAAAACTTTTGTTTTATCCAAGTTCATAAACAGACCTTAATGTAAGACTGGCCGTATAAAAATTTGGAACCATTCTCTGCAAATCTTCAATATTTTCTGTCTCATTAACACGTCTCATCTGCATACCTAAAATTCCGTTTACTATAACGCGAGCTGTTTTGTTGTTCAATAGGTCTTGCATGATAAGTTCCGAACACAAGTGGAATGGTAATGGAGAGAGAATGCAACCTTGTCATACCCCTGGCTTAATTTTTATATTCCCCGATTTTATAGTTCTTTCTTGCCTTCCCTAATCTATAGGCTTTCTGGGTTTTTCTCCTGTAAATAAAGACTCGTTTTTTTGTACATTAATTATATGGCTCAAGTAGGTGTACTCTTCTTCTAGTTTTCTTAGCATATAGTCGATATCACTCTCGTATTCAACTGGAATGGCCTAGTCGTCAGCAAAGTATATCATGTCCAATCTCTCCTCTTCGATTTTAATGCCCATATTGCAGCATTTTCTTCTCCACACTGAGTGCGCCTCATTCAGATATATTTTAAAGAGTGTAGGTGCTATACAGCAGCCTTACTTTAGACCCTTATTAATAGAAATTTCTCTAGTTAATTTGTTTAAAGTTTTGCTACCTATCACAATCAAAACCACTTTCCAGTGTTTTGATTGTGAGGGTAAAGACGACTTTACCCAAATATGTGAAGAAATGAAATAACTCAAAAAAACACTCTCCTTAGCTTAAAATTATAACGATAATAATGTAATGATTGAGGCAGATATAAAAGAGTTGACAATACAAGAGTTACTAAGTTTTGGGAAGAAACCTAAAATACTAAGTAAAATACAAAAAAAACTGTATACCTTAAAGGAATTATTGCCGGTGGATATCCAGCTTGCGAAGGAAGAATCAATCCTCTTCGGGGCGCAATTCCCAATCCAGCTTGCGATTCCCTAGGCAATGAAATGTCGCCCGCGCTTCTCAACGAAATTACTCCTTCTCCTCTGGAATCTTGTCGAGTATTTAGCGTGAAGCACACCCTTCCGTTTTGTATGGTGGCAGATGGTCCTTCGCTACAACCCATGAGAAAGTCTTCAGGGTCCGATTCGTACGGTGGTTCGTCGTACCAATGGGCGGGACGGTTAAGAGGGTCTGCGTAATGCGGGACTGGAGCTAGCATGCGTACCTCTTCATCGTACATATACGTGTCATCTGTAATATATACAATTTAAATTTAACACTAAGAAAAAGAGAATTGTGACATAATATTATTAAATACAAAGTGACACCTAAATAAACTAGTACTCTTTATATTACTGTACATTTACAATGTTCAACAAAATCCTATTTTCTTTATAAACTTGTAGTAAAGAAAACACTTTGTATATATTTCAATAACATTCCACTCATGACTCTACGTCATATACTAACAGACGAAATATGGACTTTCTGAATACACCTTGTATATCGATCCCTCCGATGCGACACACGTACGAAAATAGACAAAAAGAAGCCGACAGAAAAAAAAAGAACACAAACGAAAGATCAGAATTGACACAGATGACTGAGATGTGCTAGATGACCGACAATACAAGACATTTCAGAGAAAGACACCTAGACTGTTTAAGGTGACGTCATTTTTAGTCCTTGAAAATAGGATGTTACGTTAGCCTTACAATGTAATTAAAACAACTTCCCTCTATTGCTGAGTAGTACAGATAAACTTTAGATGACCTTTTTTATGCCTAGATAGCACTTTTATTCTCGTGGCGGGCGTTTAAGAGATTAGTACAAAAACATGTTTCAAACAAGAAACGTAATTAAAAAAAATGTTTATTAATACTTTTTGTGTAGAATAAACCGTTTTATCAAAAATAACTTTTGAAACCGGTGATTTTAAATGTCAGTTACGCTCGCGAAATTAATTTTTTAAATAAAATTTGCATCACCTGACCATGATATAAGGACACAAGGTATGCTCACACGCATCTATTTTGAACAGCCAATTGCGTTTACGACCAAAATCTGCCATTTTTAAGGCGGCAATTCAAATATCTACAAAATTGATAATAAATCTCGTAGTTAAATATAATAAAATAAAATTAATATTATACATTAATCCAATTAATTCAGATTTAAAATGATCTGAACAGACCCTTGCTAAAATAATTTTAAAAAATCGAAACAAAACAAAAACAAATTTCCTTTTAAATTCCAATACATTGCAAAATAAGGTTAAAAAATGCAAAACACTTAGCTGGACGTAAACAAAACAGACGTCACGCATGTGACGTATTGAAAAAATGGTGGATTTTGGTCGGCGCAGCGATGTGCAAAAAACGAGTCCACCTAGTGAGCATACCTTGTTTCCTTATATCATGACCTCGTCGATAAAAATTCGATATCTTTTGATCAGAGTGTCCTATCGGCAAAAATCAAAATGTATATTATACATGAAGAGTGTATATAAAGTTAGTTTTTATAAAGTTGTTAAATAAGTAATTGTTGCGCGATTTTTGCAATTTTTGCCAATTAATGAGATTGGATTTCGTCGGACAAATCGCTTTTTTACGCCATCTATTGGTTACAGCTTTTAACTATGTCCAAACCGTCCAGTGCCTATATGTAATTCAGACTATATGTATTACTAGAAATAGAACATGATTATTCGAAGAACGTATACCATTCTTACAGTATGACCAAACCAACAAACATTATTTTTATAATTTTCTCTGATTGATCACTACTACACATGGATAATCCTCCCTCCCTAATTAGAGGGAGATACACTCCCTCTAATCAAACACATGCTCTTTACAAAGAGGTACGTAATCACTGTTCAACATAAATCTTATCTAAACGATCACTACTATACATAGGTCTACAACGAACGTGCATTACTTTACATAGCTATATGCATAAATTTTATTTTAAAATTACAGAATAGAGATTGTTTACGGTATACGTTCTTCAAATAATCATGTTCTATTTATAGTAATACCTCATACGTTGCTGTACGTTGTATCATTTTCAACGACACCTCCTCTGTATGTTGATTGAATTCGGAAAAGGAGAATTGATTTAAATATACGCTGTACAAAAAAAAACGATAGTCTGAATTACATATAGGCACTGGATGGTTTGGACATAGTTAAAGGCTGTAGCCAACAGATAGCGAAAATGCGATTTGTCTGACGAAAACCAATCTCAATAATTTGATACCATAAACGTCAAAATAGGTCCAATAACAGCGGAAGTATGATGAAATGTCTTTTTGGCGATGTCTTTGCGTTTGTTTTTTTTGTAATAAACACACGTTCTGCGTCGACTGTCACATAAATGTCACGTCCTGCGTCTAATGTCACGTGATGCGTCGAATTAGTGCCGTTTTGGCAATATCTTTCCGTCTGTTTTTTGTGTTAACGTATTGGATATTCCCTCCTCTTTCCTTTAACGTATTACACGTAGTAATCTGACTAATAACAACAGAGAAACGATATAAAAACGTTTTGGCATTGTCTTTGCGTTTGTTTTTTGTCTTTACATATTCATTACCACCCCCCTTTCCATCGATACCTTGCACGTTGTTGTACGTTGAGCTGTTTAGACGTCAGAAGCTTAGTGTCCTTTCGGCAATGCCGCCATCTTGTTTTTTGTGTTAACGTATTTATTTCCTCCTCCCATTCCAACGATACCTCACACGTCACGATCTGACCAATAACAACGGAGATATGCTTTAGTGCCCTTCTGGCATTGTCTTTGCGTTTGATTTTTATCTTGACATATTCGTTACCACCTCCCCTTTCCAACGAGCCCTCATACGTCACAAACGAGACAAAACGAGCAGAATGGATCTTAGCGATTTCTGGGATTTAACATGGGAAAATCCGCAGAACTGTTGCTGCCCTTTTACTTTCATCCAATAGAAACTCGGCAGTTTCTATTCAGTCAAATCAATAATGGCAACAGAAAATATAACCTTTAGACAAGCAGAACAACTAAATAAAATCCAAGATTAGCAAAAATAATAACTAATAATAGACATTCTCTCCTACATAACAAATAACATTTTCAATTTTCTCAGCTTACCTACCTCGTCAAATAATGTCTCAAATTTCATATTAAATAAACCAGCAAGAAGAACTACTAATACAACTATAACTAATAAACGTAAAGCAACTTCTCCACCAATTACCTCTGCTATAACTCAATACCTCTGCCTTAACTTCTAGCAAAAGACCTACACCTAAATCTAATCCTATAATACCCAATCCATACAGAGACGAATTTATTGACTATAAAGAGAAACTTATATTACTTATTGCATCGAATATAAATCAATGCTTAATACTGTTTCCTTGTTCAGTTCCCAAAGACACCATTTACTAAGATTTGCAGAAATTTTCCCATTCGTTAAGTCTGTACTCTACTTCAAATATTACTTTACCATATTCATCATGTAGCAGTGCAGTTTGTCTCTTATTAAATACACTCACAGACAATAAAAGTAACTTAATAATTTATTTTTTCTGAAGAGCTTAACGACATTCACTTTGTTTAGAATAAAAAGTGACTTAACCTAAAAAAAGTTCTAATGTCATGCTAATGTCGGTTATTAATGAATAAATACCGCATCGAAAACATATTCCAATATTCAACAATTAGCGTATAATACAAAATGTGCTCCGAATGCTAAATAAATAAAGAGAAATATACAATTACAAAAGCATCATGAATAAATCAAGCGACAGTTTAAAACTATTTCCATCATTATTAGTAGATAAAACATTACAGCCAAGAAATAATGATCGGAATATAAATAATTTTCTACCTGAATGAGCTTTATATATTTAAATGAAATGTGAGTAGTTTAAAATAGAGCAATCTAATATAACAATAAATTTTATTACCTTACGAACAATTATTAATGTCATGGTAGATAATTTTAAAATAACTCATAGATTATTAAATTCATTTCCTTAATGTTTAAAAAATAAGGCTGTGTCGAATTTACCAAAAAAGAACTAACTTTAAATCGCTGGTGTATTGTGCGCTTTCCAAATTAATAATTTCGGTGCTGTTTCACCTTAATGTTCAAATTCTTAATATTCACCTAATAGTTTTGCAAACTCTTTAATGATTTGCTTCATAAAATTTAACTTTTGACTCCAAATTTACGGTAAAACAACTATAGTAGATATTTATGTATATAAGTATTGCCTACCTCCAGATAATGGTCCTCTAATGCCCTCTTTTCCAAGCTGTAACAAACCCTGTTTGATGTCCCTCAATATCTGAAAAAATAATAATTATTTTACCTATATATAAATAAATAACAAAATTACTGCGACATATATAAAGAGTGAAGAAATACTCTAAAGAAGGTAAGGCTTACATCTAATAACATGATTTTGTAAAATAGAGAGTTAAACAAAAAAATAATTCACCCAATGTATAAAGAAAACGGCATCTTTCGCTACAATATTTATATTGGTAGACTACAAAACTTTGAGCAGTATTGACTGCTTTTGACAAATAATGCAATAGAAGTAAAATCAAGCTAAAGATTTAATAAAGAAATGTCAACCGTAAAATAACTATAATGAATAAGTTACTAACAAAATATTGATATGCGCATAGTTGTAGATTTCAAAAAGGCTTTTCAATAAGTTAAAAGAGACTAATTTGATAAGAAGAAAAAACTGAACTACTTACAATTGGAAGATAGTGTAGCTTCAGAATATTTTACAGAATATGTCTATTATTGTCACATTATATTAGGGTGAGTACCTTCACATTTATTGTCACATTATATTAGGGTCACATTATATTGTCACATTATATTTATACTTATTGTCACATTATATTAGGGTGATTAAATGTGAGTACCTTCAAAAGGTACTCATTAAAAATGATATTGACGTGGTCGCAATTCAGGAAACCCATGCAGAAAATGAAGAACAAATTCTCGCTAGAGGAAGAATTCATGGCTATGATTTATTGGGTGCAACTTACCATCCAGCTTATGGAGTGGCAACCTATGTTCGAAACAAAATAGAAAATGCATACATACGTTCTACATCAGACATAAATAACATTCATACGGTGACTATACAAATTGGCGAAATTACTGTCAGCAATATTTATAAACCCCCGGCAGTCCTGTGGCCTTCGCATGTTATTCACGCCCACCCACACCCCTCAGTTTATGTGGGAGACTTCAACAGTCATCATGAACTCTGGAAGTAAAGGCACAATGATCAAAACGGCGAGGCTCTAATAAACTGGAGCGAAGAGGTTGACACTTATTTAGTCTTTGATGCTAAAGATCGGGCAACTTTTCGATCTGCAGCCTGGAAGCGAGAATACAATCCAGACCTATGTTTTGTTTCCACAAATGAAAACAATCAACCACTGGCAGCTTCACGTACAGTATTGCCAGATTTTCCACATAGCCAACATAGACCAGTTGTAATAGAAATTGGCATCAAAATACCAATAATATCATCTTTTCCCCGACCTAGGTGGAACTTTCAAAAAGCAGACTGGGCGACTTTTACTGAAAGATTGGACAAATGTCTGGGATGGATACCCCCAACACGCTCAAACTACATGAGATTTGTTGGCGCAGTTATCTCCACAGCGAAGAAAACTATACCCAGAGGATATCGTAAAGAGTATGTCCCAGGATGGGATAAAAAATGCGAGAAATTGTATCAAGAATACAACGAAAGCCAAGATCGAGAAATTGCGGACGAATTACTGCACAGTTTGGATGCAGCCAGACGACAAAAATGGATGGAAACTGTGGAAAAATTAGACTTTAGTAAATCAAGCAGAAAAGCATGGTCTTTACTTAGAAAACTTGGTAGTAGTAGCCTCCCAACTAGAGAAAAAGTACCAATAGCTCAAACAGAGTGGCCTCCCACATTGTAGCAACCTCAAGAGCACCTAGAGATCGTGATCACACCACCAAAGTCAAACAAGAACTTAAAGTACTAAAGTCTGCATGCCCGCCTACTTCTGAATATTCTAACGAGTTTACTCCAGAAGAAATTATTTCAGCTATATCAGAAATTAAGTCTGGAAAGGCACCCGGCTCCGATAAAATTCATCCAGAATTTTTACTCCACTGTGGCAAATATGCTAGGAAATGGCTGGCTGATTTCTATACAGATATGTTAAAATCAGGAGAAATCCCCCATTCAGTTAAAAAAGGCCTCCATTATAGCCATATTAAAACCAGGAAAGGCAAATAATCAGCCTCAAAACTACCGTCCGATTGCTTTGCTGAGCTGTGTTTATAAACTGTTGGAACGCTTAATCTACAACAGAATCAGTAGAAAAGTATTTGAATTGATACCTATTGAGCAAGCAGGATTCAGACCTAACCGCAGCTGCACAGATCAGATCCTATCCTTAACAACACATATTGAAGCTGGTTTTCAAAGAAAACAAAAAACATCCGTTACTTTCATTGACCTATCAGCTGCATACGATACTGTCTGGAGACAAGGACTAATCTGCAAGCTAATCCGTGCCGTCCCGTGTCAAAAGGTAACTAAACTCATTGATAACATGCTCACCGACAGACCTTTTCAAGTCACAATAGACAATTCTAAAAGTTCCCAAATGAAGCTCAGCAATGGACTGCCACAGGGATCTGTTTTGGCACCCTTACTGTTCAATTTATATATCGCGGACCTACCTAGGACAACTTCGCAGAAATTTGGCTACGCTGACGATTGGGCAATTGCAGCAAGACATAATAACATGAATATCACAGAAACAATATTAGCGGATGACCTTGCCATTATGGGAGAATACTTTCGCAAATGGAGGCTACGGCCTAATGCAACGAAAACCGAAGTGTGCTGTTTCCATCTGAATAATGCCCAAGCCAACAAAAAACTCTCCATCCACTTCGAAAACAGACTGCTCACTCATAACTCAACACCAAAATATCTTGGAGTGACTCTGGACAGAACATTGAGTTTTAAAGAACATCTTCAAAGAACGACAGCAAAGTTGAAAACGAGAAATAATATAGTCCAAAAGCTATGTGGCACTACATGGGGGTCTTCAGCCTCCGTACTCAGATCATCCGCTCTCGGACTTGTATACTCGGTGGCTGAATATGCTTCCCCGGTATGGCTCAATAGCAAACACACAAAGATTATTGACACTCAATTAAACCAGACAATGCGAATGATCTCAGGTACAATTAGACCCACACCGAACTATTGGCTTCCCATTCTAAGTCACATTCCACCGCCGAAACTGCGAAGAAGTCATTTTCTTCTCAGAGAATATCGAAAAATTGAGGCTAACCATCAACTACCTATACACCAAGATAAGCTTGATATCGAAATAAACAGACTGCGCTCCAGATATCCTCCATTGCTAAGAGCCAACTCCTTACATCAGGAACATTTCAACCTGACCAAAGCTTGGAGAACACAATGGGAGAGCGACTCACCACAGGAAGCACATCAAATGGCCTGTATCGATCAGAAACCGCCAGGCTTTGAACTGACCCGCAATACATGGACAACGCTAAACAGAATAAGAACAAGCAGCGGTAGATGTGCTGACAGCTTATATAGATGGGGAAAAGCCCTTACTCCTGAGTGTGACTGTGGTGCGCAACGACAGACCGTCCGTCACATTGTTGAAGAATGTCCCCGAAGGCGATTCCGTGGAGTTTTCGATGAGTTCCTGAATGCGACCGAAAATGTTTTACATTATATTAATAATACATTAGATGTTCGTTTGTAATACTTCATGTAACGTTTTTATATTGATTTTTTTAATTGTGTGTTCTTATTGTATGCCATACGATAAATAAATAAATATATTAGGGTTACCAGTTTGCTATCAGATATTTTTATGGATCATCTAGAGACAAAGATTTTAAAACATCCCGTATTCAAACAGTTTTTATATTGGTTAAGATACGTAGACAATGTACTGGTATGTTTTACAGGAACTACCAAACAACTTGACCAATTCTTATTGTATAATAATTCACTCCAGCTATCTTTATTAAAATTTATGGAAATTAACAAATAAAAAACACAGACATAATTCTGAATTATCAACGTGAGAAAAACAGTTTTCCTGTCCTTAATTTATTTTTTAAAGACTAAATTGTACATACATCCAAAAATAGATCACTTGATCACTTAGTTAATATAATTTAACTGCCTAGACGCCTGAAACCTAGACCTTAATGGTAACAAAATTACATAATATAAGCGTACCACAAAAATTGATTTAAAAAATCAATTTCCCCTAATAACTTATAGATTAATAGATCGTATCTATTTAATATACGACTTTACAATATTTGTGTGATCTTTTTTAAAGACTTAATTTATCGAAAACTTACCTCTTCGTGTTCCTTTGTAAACTTTTCCCGCTTTTTCATAGCTTCCTGCAGCTTGAGCTAAAACAAAGAAAACTTAAAGTTATAATCGGAAAAATTAAGCAAACTTTTTATTATCTGTTTTGAAAAGGACCCTAACACACTGAGAAAAATTATAATTAGTATTTGTAAATTTGTCCTGTTAAAAGAAAGTTACAAAAAGATCGAAATAGTTTGAATGTGGCAAAGTGGATGGTTCTTTTTAAAGTTTACGGAAACTCAATTAGACTTACGAAGTTTTAAAGACATTGGTTTCTTCTTTTATTTTCAGGTGAGATGTTAGTTTAGGATTAGGTGTATAAGATGTATACCATCGCAATACAGCCATATTACATACAGGATCATACAAGTCTCTATGCTCGAAGGGGTATATCAGTATATAAATATTTTCAGATTTTGACAAAAGTCCTACTGGTTATCGTAAAATAAGTATTTTTAAGCTTTTTCTTTTTTTATATATAAATAATTTTCTATAAATAAATACTTCTAATTTTTTTTCTCATATCCCATCCTACTCAGGCATCGCTTTTAGATTCAGATTCTTCCTTTACCAATTTTTCCATACATTTTGACACGTTATATTTTTTTTATTCATATTCGAAAGACTAAACGTTTCTAATTTTATTGTTACAATTATGATGTTCTAAATCGTTACTAAATTGCAAGATCGAAATTCCATAACGGCTAAGCCATTCTCGACGATTAGTCATCAGAAAAGTTTAGACACACAAACTAACCAATCTCGATTGAAGGTACAGCATCAAATTGCAATTTCCAAAGAGTTGATATAAAATAAATCCGGAAATATAACAGAAATAAAAAGAATGCGTAGTTTCTAAACTGAGGTCTCTATGAGTATCCCTACCGGCGTCGTAAAAACCCAGCAAAGAGAGTAAAGTAATAAAAACCGAAAAATCCCATCGCCTTCGCCGAATCTTAGTGACATTTTGATTTAGGCGGCTGCAACGGCGCAGGGTGAAGCGGTGAAAGAATCGCAAGTCTAGATCCCGAATAGGGCAGGACTGTTTCTCCTTTTTCGGTTAAAAATATCAACGGCGTTAATTATTGGAGGGTTAAGACAATTGCTATCAATAATCTTGACCAGAAAGAAAAAGATCTGATTACCGTATATGTAAACAGTGTCTTGAAACATAAGCTGAAAAAAAAACTACAATAGTTAAGGTAATTAAACATATCAACCAAAGATCTAAGTAAAGCTTCCTCACTTCATGAGTAGACAATGATTGCCACATATGCAAACGATGCTCTCACATTTCGTTCCTTTATTGAAAAAGAGCTTTCAGAAACTTTCAAACTCATATCTAATTTCATAATTTATTTAAAAAATGTTGAGTATTTTTTATAAATGGACCATTTTTATTTGTAATTAGTTGTATAATAAATACAATGCGCTCCAAAATTAACGCATAATTTTGAAATTCTTATTTTAAGTTGTAATGGAAAATTTTTTGTTTGTTCTTTTCTGCTTTATGGTTGTTTTAGAACATCTTAAATAAAAACTTTTCTTTTTTTACAAAAAATGTATTGAAATTAACACTTTAACATTATAAATCTAAACATCTAAATAAACAACTCATACAAACTAACATTATAAATGAATGACGAAATTGAAATTTTTAAAGTTGAAGAAAATACTAGTACCGTGTACTAGTATCGAGTATTGTCTCCTCTGGCATTTATTACTGCTTGACAACGATCTTTCATGAGAATAATCATTCTGATTTCTTCTTGATCAATTTGATCCCAAATTTCAACCAACCGCAAAAACAGTTCATCTAATTGTTTTGTGCATTAGGTAGTTGTCGTAGTCGTCTGCCTATGATGTCCCAAACATGTTCTATCGGGTTGAGGTCAGGACTTCTCGCAGGACAATCCATGGCAGGAATTCCAAGCTTCTGACGATACGAAAATTCTTGCCGTGTGTGGCCTGGAATTATCTTGCTTAAGCATAAAATTCTCCCAACAAATGGTGCAAATGGCACGACATACTCTTCTAAAATGTCTGTTATATACCGTTCCCCAGGCCTTTTATACACTCGTTTTCTCCTGTCATCAGTAAAAAGACGTTACCTGGATTTATCGGTGAACAATATTCTCCCCAATTGTCATTATTCCAATCAATATGTTCACGAGCAAAATGCAATATTTGTCTTCTATGGTCTCTGGTCCATAACAGGCCAATTGGTGCCCTTCCAGGGTGCAGGTCGTTTTCGGCAAGTCTTCTTCTAATCATATTTTGACTGATTCTAAAGTTATAACGATCCAAAAATTCATTTTTTAAAGAAGTACTGATAGCAAACCTTTGTCTCAGAGTACGAAGTGTCAAAAACCGGTCTTGATTAGGAGTTGTACCCTTCTACGGCCTTGACTGTGTCTTCTCGAATTACTTCCAGTAACCGAAAAACGTGTTAACACTCTTGAAATGGTTGACTGTAATAAAAAGTTCAGCGAGTTCTACTTGAGTGTATCCTTCTTCGCGAAGAGTACCGATTCTAAAACAGTCTCTATATGACAAATTTCGATTTGCTTACTGCTGGTTGTTCATTTCAAAGAAAAAATACTTAATAAACTTGAAAAACCCCTTTACGTTCAGCACAACGTAATACAACCCATCTAAATTCGAAATAAAATGAAGCACAATTAACATGTTTTTAATTTTTTTGCAAAAAATGGTAAAAACATCAGCGTTTTTACCTTTTTTTTCGATACATTTTACAATATACCTGGGGTAATAATAATATATTAGCACAAAAATCTAAACGTTAAAATTATTTGATTTACTAGGGTTTTAAAATTATGCGTGAATTTTGGAGTGCAGTGTATTTGATAAAATTACAATAATTAAATATTTAATATAATTAATGTTTGCAGTAACAATATATTTTTTTTCAATTTGCAATCAAATTATTTTCTTACATGTTTCGGGTTTTATTATTTAAGATTTTACAATTCACTTTTGTCTATTTGTTTTGAATACTTACGTAAATAATAATATTAATCTAGAGTTTCAAATCATCTCTCGCCGTCACCTTTTTTCAGTACATAATAAATATGTTTATTTGGTAAAAGTATAAAAATATTTGTAAAATTGGAAGAGAAACTACTAGTCCTAAAACCATCAAACATATATAAAACGTGGGAAGACATAAAAGATAGTATCTTAACAACAGCAGAGGAGTAGATAGGGTACACAGCTTTGAGACCAACCCCTAAATTGCAACCCCTAAAATCGCAACCCCCGGTCGTAAGTTCCAAACGGCTTAACGTAGGATGACGTACGAGGGCTCGTTGAAAAGGGGATGAAAAATGGGTTGAATGCAGTATGTGCCGTGCGCATTGGAGCATGCCAAAAGGTCATTATGGGGTATCTTCGTTTCTATTGGTCCGATCGGGGCGTACGAGGGCTCGTTGAAAAGGGGATGAAAAATGGGGTTGAATGCAGTATGTGCCGTGCGCATCGGAGCATGCCAAAAGGTCATTATGGGGTATCTTCGTTTCTATTGGTCCGATCGGGGCGTACGAGGGCTCGATGGAACGGGGATAAGACGGGGAATACTTTGACACAAAAAACAAAGATGGCGACGTTGCCAAATGGGCGTTTAAAACGTATCTTTGTTGCTATTGGCTTGATTTTGACGTATGAAGTGTCAAATGAAAGCGTTGGTGACACATACACACACACACACAGAAGCCATGTCAACGCTTGAACATTCTTCTTCTTCGTTTCAGTACAGTGGCTAAGAGAACGTTGACGTAGGACGTGACATTTGTCGCAGGACGTGACAGTTATGTGACATTCAACACAGAACGTGAAATGTCGTGAAATTTGACGCAGGAGTTGACAGGTATGTGACATTCAACACAGAACGTGAAATGTCGTGAAATTTGACGCAGGAGGTGACAGGTATGTGACATTCAACACAGAACGTGAAATGTCGTGAAATTTGACGCAGGAGGTGACAGGTATGTGACATTCAACACAGAACGTGAAATGTCTCGTGACATTTGACGCAGGACGTGACATTCGACGTAAGACGTGTCATTTATGTGGCATTCGACACAAAACGTGAAATGTCACGTGAATTGACGTGACATTCGACGCAGGACGTGACATTTATGTGACATTCGACACAAAACGTGAAATGTCACGTGAATTGACGTGACATTCGACGCAGGACGTGACATTTATGTGACATTCAACACAGAACGTGAAGTGTCTCGTGACATTTGACGCAAGACGTGACATTCGACGTAAGGACGTGTCATTTATGTGGCATTCGACACAAAAACGTGAAATGTCACGTGAATTGACGTGACATTCGACGTAGGACGTGAAATGTCGTGACGTGTGACGTTGTGACGTGACGTTCGACATTTTAAAAGACAAAGACACAATAACAGAGGACAATAGAGGGTAGCAGAGGGTAACAGAGGGTAGCAGAGGGTAACAGAGGGTAGCAGAGGTACACAGAGGGTAACAGAGCGTCATAACAGAGACATTCAGATGCCTTCAGTGACACATATGCAGCGGCACGAGGGAAATACCAGCGTAAAATCGTTTTATTCCACTTCGAATAAATTGCATAGCTATTGTCACCAACAGAACATCGAGGTTTATTCATAATCATATTTATAGTATCATTATTTAATGTTCCAGTCACAGGAAGATTGTATTTTTCCTGAAAAGCAACTAGGGCCATATCTATACTAGAAAGAGCATTATTTGATGTATTTAGATATCCGAAACGTTTAAGAAAAGAACTAGCATACGCCAGAGTGCTATTCTCTGCACTCACAGATACAGAGAGCAACAATAAGACATGTAAAGAGACCAGCATCTTGATTTATACTAATTTCCAAAAAAATTGGTACTATAGTTATTTATACAAAATTCACAAAAACAGAATTATATACTGAAATATTAAGACAGAAATATTTTAAATAATAATATGTTAAAATAGTGCATTTGTTAGCAAACCGGATGAAGCCTCATGATAACAATACACCGCGTTGTTCAAAACACGTAAACAAGTGTGATAACAAATTTTATTTTAATCATTGGAAAAACAAGTACACCGGAAAGAAAAACCGCAGTTGCTACATTTTGTTAAAATGTATGAAGATATCAGCAACCACATCAACAAAATTCTAAATTGATAACAACGATTCTCTTACCGCAATATCTATTTATTATATTACCATAAATATTAGTTGAAGAAATAAAAATAAATATAAAAATATTAGCATTTCTAGAACTCAAGGTGTTGCTTATCTATGAAAACGAATCAGTCGATGGTACCGTAGGCACATTAGGTTGACGCAACTCGGGCTCGGGTGGGGCGATATGCTGTTCTGTTCTTTAAAAGGCCGAGGAGCGCATACGTTGTCACAGTTCGCTTCGCAAACGTACTACAACAACAACAAGTTCGCAGTAGTCAATACGGTGTGCAGTGACTTACATATATCTGATAAAGGTAAGCGGTTGTTTCTTTTTATGTATTTATTATGTCCTTTTTATCATTGTATTTTATGAGAATTGTACATCTCTCTGTTCGTATTTCATGCAGTATTTTATGAAAAATGTATATTTCTATGTATTTATTATGTCCTTTTTATCATTGTATTTTATGAGAATTGTACATCTCTCTGTTCGTATTTCATGCAGTATTTTATGAAAAATGTATATTTCTATGTATTTATTGTGTCCTTTTTATCGATGTGGGTGTTGTAAAACATTCCACGTCTGCTATTTTTTATAAGAAGTATTCTCCGCTGTTCGTATTTCGATTTCTTGTAGTATATGGTTCTTCTCTATTGCCAAGTATGTAATGCATCTCTCCATTCACGTTAAGCGGAAAAAACTATAGTTTTTTATTATTATTGTAGATGGATCTATCAAAACTAAATAATGCATCCTTGGTTGCAGAACGTAAGCCAATAAAAAAACTTAAAGATCTACAAATTGGAAAAAAATTTACCATCCACAGTGCAAAGGTTGGTAACAACACAATTTGGGGAGACAGTTCTGCTGGATTTGGGTGCTGAAGTTGTCTTCTTACCACAGCGGGTAACCAAAGCCTACCAAGCAGCAATAACGGACCTCAACAGCGGAAACTATTCGCTGATATACGAAGGGGAAGTTGATATGGAAAAAGCAGACTCCTTGCATCCTTTAAGATAGTTGAATAAGGTAAGTGATTTTTTCTTATTGTTTGTTCTTATGAGTAGCCATGCATATAAAAACAAGTGATTAAACAGTCTGATGATTTGATGCACATTATTAAAAAGCTTAGTAAAATAATTTTCGATAAATTCACTGAAAGAGATCGTACAGTTTGGACAAGACGGTTAAATAGTCAAATTTTTAGATGTAGTAAAGTAATTAAAAAACAATAAACTATCCGTAGGAACAGTTAGAAAATTGCAAACTTACATAGGTCATTTTAAGCATTTTAGGCAAATTATTTTAAATTTCAATAATAAGTACGTGGGTTGGGGCTTAATTCAAAATTACGCAATAGAGTTAAATGGGAAAATGTCATTTCATGTTTTGCTAGTAGAATTAAAACTGGAGTTATAGTTTAATTTAGTGCATAAGGACTTAACACAGTTCCTAAATGATTGTTATATTATTTTTAGTAGAAAAATTAAAATTATTTTAAAACAAATAGAATGCTTAAAGTCAATACTGCATTTTGCGGCGAATTCATTAAAAAATCAAGTGATAGCGAAAGTTTAGATTTAAAATATTTTAACACTAAAAATGCTATTATAGACGCATCGACCGATTTACATCTTTGGTTCAGTGAAAATGTTAAGGATAAAATTTTTACAAAGCTGTCTGAATTTGCAGAAAAAGATTCTGGTGCTGCTCTGTCTAAAGTAATCTCATTAGAAGTCAATAATAATAAAGTAGAAATAGGAAACGGTTCATCGTTCATTGATTTGCCATAGAGATTCAGAAAAAACGAGCGTGCATTAATGTGCATAACTTCGATCAGGCTTGTTTTTATTGGTCAATTGTTAGCGCTCTGTATCCAGCAAAAGATCATCCACAACGAGTTTCAAAATATCCACATTATTCTACTGTTTTACAAACTGACAAATTAGAAAGCCAATGCCATTAAGCCAAATGTCCAAATTTGAAAAATTAAACGCCATATCAGTCAATGTTTTTGCATTAGAATTAAACGTAGTTAAGGACAAACAATTTTATGAAGTAGTACCAGCCAGACTGACACCGCAAAAGATGGAAAAGCATGTTAATTTGCTCCTTATACAAGATAAATATTTCCCAAAGTTAAACGATTACGATGCTCCTCCAGAAGATGATGATCAGACTGAAATACGCCTTCATTATTGGTTGGATTAAAGATTTAGGAAAATTAGTGAGGTCACAGGTAAACAAAACAAAATGGAAAAAATATATTTGTGATCGTTGCTTTAAACTATTTTCACAGTGAAAGCAAACTAGCAGAGCATGAAGAAATGTGTTCAGATGTGAATAAATGTAAAATGACTGTTCCCAAATATGACCATGTGGCTTTTCGCAATTTTACATACAAACAAACAACTCCGTTTATAGTTTATGCCGATTTTGAATGCCAATTACATAATTTTACAGATTCAATGTCTCAGTGAGTAAAACAGCAAAATATCAGAAACATGTACCTTTTAGTGCAGGTTATTATTTGAAATGTGCGTTACGATGATAGTTTATCTTATTTTAATAGCTATAGAGGTGAAATTGCATGGAGTGGTTCGCAAAAGAAATGACCGAAATTTCCAAATTTGTAAATTCCAAAATAAAGACAATTGTACCTATGGTCGAAAAACCCAACACAAATATGGCAACTGTTTGCCATATTTGTGAGAAAAGCTTTTTGGCTACAGATACAGTTGTTGTAGATCACGATCATTTTACTGGACATAGTACGGGGATTTGCGCACCAAGCATGTAATTTGAACTTTAAAAAATTGTTTGTCGTCCCAATCGTATTTCATAATTTTAGTGGCTACGATTCGCATTTATGATTATAGATCTTTGCAAGCATGGGCACTTGAGCTTACTTCCCATAAACAAAGAAAAATACATTTCCTTTACATTACAATCTGACGAACATCAAATTAAATTACGATTTATTGATTCTCTAAGATTTATGGGAGCTTCACTCGATGAATTGGCATCTCTTTTAGATACATCCGAAAAGAAGATTTTGAAAGAGAATTTAGTCAATTAGATAATGATACATTTAATTTGTTAACTTGTAAAGGAGTATTTTGTTATGATTATATTGATAGTTTGGAAAAATTTGGATGAAAACGTCTTTACACCCACAATTAACCATTTTTATAGTAAGTTAAATAATGAATACATTAGTGAAGCGAAGTATGCTCATGCTCAAATGTTTGGAAGAAATTTAATTGTAAAAATTTGGGAGAATACAGCGATTTGTATTTTGAAAACAGATATTCTGCTGCTGGCTGATGTGTTTGAACAGTTCCGACAAAAATGTCGAGAACACATATAAATTAGATCCAGCATGGTATTATACCATGCCAGGATACACGTGGGATTGTATGTTGAGATACACACAATGTAAATTAGAATTGCTAAAAGATGTGGATAAGATCTTGTTTATGGAAAAAGCCATAAGAGGTGGAATATCTGTTTGTAGCAACAGATATTCAGAGGCCAACAACAAATACATTTCGTCTTATGATCCCACACGGCCCTCTAAGTACATCCTCTATTTAGATGTGAACAATCTGTATGGCTGGGCAATGTTACAATTGCTTCCATATGGAGGGTTCAAGTGGATCGAAGATGATACCAAATTTGGTGTTGGTAATCTTTCCCGAGGACATATAGATATTATGTCAATACAGGATGATGCAAAGGAGGGCTATTTTTTCCAAGTTGACTTGGAGTAATCCACGGAATTACACGACAAACATAAAGATTTTCCATTGCTGCCGAACACCGCATTCCGCCTGGTTCAAAATTGCCAAAGTTAATACCAACACTTATATACAAAACCAATATATTATGCATTATAGAACTCTTAAACAGGCATTGGCTAACGGGTTAATTTTAACAAAGATACATAAAGTTTTGAAATTTAATCAATCTGCGTGGCTGCGACCGTATATCGAATTAAATACAAATTTACGGGCGGCAGCCACCAACAGTTTTGAGAAAAATCTCTACAAGCTAATGAACAATGCGGTGTTCGGAAAACTTTACAGAACCAAAGACGTCATCGTATTGTAAAATTATGTAAAAAATGGCATGGAAGGTACGGAGCAGAAATTTTGATATGCGAGTAGTCGATTTCACAGTCGATACGATCTTTAGCGAAAATTTGGTAGCTATCGAAACTTAAGAATCAGAAGTATGCTTTAATAAACCCCTGTATATAGGCGCAGCAATCCTCGATATATCAAAAGTATGTATGTACGATTTTCACTACAACTTTATGCTTCCAACGATGGGAGAGAACAACTGTTCATTGTTGTACATGGACACCGACAGCTTTATTTATGAATTGAAATGTTCAGATGCATATAGAGAGGTTATAAGAGCGCATCAAATAATATTTGATACTCCGACTATGCCGAAAACAACTCATATGAGATAGAACGGTTTAAATACAAAAAATCCCCGGATTAATGAAGGACGAGGCAAAATGGGAAAATAATTACACATTTTATTGGATTACGATCAAAAATGTACACATTTAAACTGCAAATAACTGACGACGAGAGGGACAAAGAGAGACAGCGCCTAGAAAGAAAAACAACAAACAAAGAGAGAATTGAATGTGACTTGGGAAATTTGGGAATAACAAAAAAGGCAAAAGGAGTGAAATATAACGTTGTTCGAAATAAAATTACGTACGAAGACTATGAAAAATGTCTTAAAGAATTCAAAATTCAAACCGCGAGCCAAAGTGTATTCGATCATACCAACATTCTGTATTTAGCATCGAGCAATCCAAAACGGCTCTAAGTCCTTATGACGATAAGCGGTACTTAATACCAAAATCATTTAATACGCTTCCGTGGGGACATTATCTTGTTGAATAACATTTATTTGTTGTTGTTGCAGGAAAAACAGCAAGATGGTGCCAACACTACGCACACAATCTATAAAAACTATTTGTGAGAATATCTCGGACATAACCGACTTTGTTGAAATATCTCCTCTACCGTGGAGTCTTACTTTAGAAATTTGTAATAATTATAGTATTTATCGCTTTCAAAAATTATATGAATCTGATTATTTGCATCTAATACAAGTATGTGATCAAATAAATTTTGATCAAATAAAACATGAAAATGAAGCAGAAAGGATTCATCTGTGTGGATCGCATTATAAAGAAAAAGAATATAATATGTATTGTGTCCATCATTCTGCATTTATAGCAGATGATATTGCTTTAAACTTTTGTTTTGGTTGTTTTAAACGTTTCTACACTGTACTTAAATCAAAAAATAAATGCATATGGTATGAACAGGTTGTTAGTGGGGATGAATATCATGAAGATGATATAAAATACTTGTATGATGTAAGAGATAATTGGTGTCAAAATTCGTTTAATCATGTCTTGTTTATACTGAGTGGTCAATGCAATGTAGATGCACTATACATAAATAATTGTTTTCTTGTAGTATATGGCTACTCATAAGAACAAAAAAAGAGAAAAGATCACTAATCTCACAGTTTTTGTATATTGTAGATTTACTAGTATTTTAGAATTAGTATAATTTAATTTTTAATAATAAATTTGTGTAATCTTACATTTTTGGTTTTATTTATAATAGAATAAAAGACAACATATCTAATAAAATTATATATTTATTCAGTTAAATGATTTACATGTCTATGTTCATAATAATATACATATTCCTTTAGAGCTAAACTTAACAAAGTGTTTGGACAAATATCGATATATGCTGCGAAGGCTGTAACTGGTCCATGTACAGAGTCTTTAGCACAAAAATTTTGCTTAATGAAAGTTGAAATATTTATATAGTATTTCTGGAATTGTAAACTCTGTAACAATGCCACTCTATGGTACAGTATTCTGTAGTTTGCGTTTAAAATGTGGTAGGCGTCATCTTCACGTAAATAATAGTCGACTCCAAATTTTTCAATGGTCAGCAACTTTACATTGTCTTTTTACCAATTGTCTTAGTTTGCAAAAATCACCATTCATAAATTCGATTGGAACATACCCATCCGCATATGTAGCATGGAAAAAGTCACTCATTTTTTCTTTTAACCACACAATTATGACGTTCCACTCGCTTATACTTAAACTGATTCTTCTAAAATCATCACGTTGGCACAGAATGATGGATGGTAGAAAATCTCGAGCTGGAGATAGACCAATTTTTATGTGGAGAGAGCTGCTGAATTAGATATGTAGTTTCCAATAAACAATA